CTGTGGTGGTTGAGGGGTTGGTTTGTTTTTAGGTTTAGCACCACTTTGTTGGAGTTGGTAACAAAAATCAACAGTATGACCATTTTTTGCAATGTGTGCATTCTAAATGTTGCTTCTTTTTTGCTGAGTTCTTTGGAACTCGTTACCTAGGGGAGTACGTGATGATTTAATAGCGATATTGGTTGCATAATCGAAAATGTCCTCTTCGGGCTTATAATCATGTGTCTTTGCATGAATATATGCCGGGTCACGGATTGCTAGGATGAAACCAAGGAACTCCATTAATTGTGCAAAACTGTCTCGAGACATATTATTATGCTCGTCCACGCAGGGTGAACCACCAAAATTGGTTAAGATATCTTGACTGACCTCGCCAGCAAGAGGAACACTTCTCATCGTGTCTTCTGGCGTATCGTCCGTGGCAGATGATCAACCCACCTAAACATCCAGTTCAGGTGACCCTGCTGTGTGCTTAATTCAAATAGACCAATTAAAGTCTTCTTAAACTTCGCATAAATAGGATGCGCAAGACCACTAGCGTCCAAATGTTGGCTAGCATAACTTCCTTCTTTGATGTGACCGCGTACAAACGCGTTGCGTTCATTATCACCTTTTATTTGAATGTTTATCATTACATCTTCACATGACCTTAAAAATATGGTTACTCGCGAATGTGATCACTGCGCGGTAGTACTTGAACAATGTTAGGTTGGATAGATGACATGCTGGTAATAGATGTAGCCATGGTTAGTGAGTTGCTAGACAACTTAGATCTAACTGAAAGATGCATGGATGCAGGAGGGAAAGTAAAAATCTCTGACACATTGTGAGACTCTGTAGACTGGGAGGTATCCTGCCGGTAATCAGGTGTTGTATTGTAAGTATTATCTGACCTTAGGGTTCCACGACATAAATCGTGAACACTCTCAACAGATTTGTCTCACGGTAAGGGCTCTTGCGTTTCTTGCGAATCTATTAATTATATGTGTTCAGTATTGACACTAGTACCGGTAACTAGTACAGTGTCAGACTTGAGTGCGTCGTCAGAATTATCTGAAACGTTATCATAAATCTCCTTCAAATAGGTAATATCTGAACTCTTTAAATTTAAAAAAATCATCCATCTGTTTTAAATAGACATGAAAAGTCAGTCTACACAAAAACCTTGCCTAGCCATTTACAGTAAACGTTTGAAAAATATCGTAATAAATGGCAAGAAAAAATTATTTCTGGTTCTATAAAAATTCAGTGTATTTATATATATATATATATATATATATATATATATATATATATATATATATATATATATATATATATATATATATATATATATATATATATATATATATTGAGTAAGACATTTATAAATTTAACATTATCCGAACACGACGACTAACGTGTGATGCTGTGCTGTTGCATATATTAATGTGTGTTTAATGTAGTGTGTCCATGTCCTACCTATTACTTTTGGCTTGATTGTAGAATTCTGGGAATATCTGTCCTTTAATCCTGTAGACTTCAGCGGCTTGGATGACAGTCAGCTGGTCGAGATTCACGGTCAGGGTTGCTGGTGTGTAGTTTAAAGATGCCGTCCTTGAAGAATTCGTGGTGTATGGTGTTGACGAGAGTAACCACGGTCAACAGATTTTTACAGATTTCCCACGAGGGGGCTAGTTTATTGGGCACCCCCTACCACGGTCAACCACCCACTAGAGGGGTGTGGATGGCAAACCCGATGAACTTGGAGTTCACTGGTGTCGTCAAGCGATCCTGTGAGGTCACATAGGTTAATGCACCTTGGAGCTGGTAGACCTCTTGGAGTTGATTGAGTATGACAGGTCAAATAGTTGGCCTTTACCAGATGGTGCTGGTTCCACAAAGAATTTACAACACTCTGTTTTTACAAAAAACACAGAAACACTTAGTTAAACAACTTGGGATGTCTAACAGGTATTTCTCTCAACTATTCCTTGGGCACAGAGTTGTACAGTAGCTGTATGGGTTGGTTGTTCTTTGAGAAGGGAAAAAAAATGTACAGACAGTGTCTCCACAACACTTGAGAGTTGGGGGCCAGTGGGGTGTCTGAAACTTTGGAGTCCTTGTAGTGATGTGCACTCCACACAGTAGGCTAAAGGAATGTACTGGGTCACTTTTACTTGAGATGGGGACTCAGATTAGGTTAGGTTAGTCATAGGCCTTTTCTTCTGTGCGGGGTGTTGCCACACTACAGTGAATTATTGTTAACTCACTTATTAAATGTTATTGAGAAAAGATTTTTTTTGTATGTCGATCTGGGATGACATTTAAATATATCACTTGACATATAACGTTGCTCACGAGAATATATATGGTATATATTCTGTTGCCTTGGAGAATGACACCCAGAAAATTTCACTGTTACTTGGGTTACAGTTTATTTATTTTTTTTATTTTTTTTTTTTTTTGGGTTGCGGTGGGGAAAGGATGGAAGGCATGCTGGGGCTCAAGGCACA